CATGCGCTACCGCACCCAGCTAATTTTTCTTTTTGTGTGTGTGTGTATTTTTAGTAGAGGCAGGGTTTCACCATGTTGGCCAAGCTGGTCTGAAACTCCTGACCTTGAGATCCAGCTGCCTCAGCCTCCCAAAGTGCTGGGATTACTGTCATGAGCCACTGCTCCCGGCTGCATGTGGGTTTATGTTGGAGGGATGGTGTGTGTGTGTTTGTGTGTGTTGTATGTTTGAAAGGTTCACAACATATTAGTTTTGGGAACATGCACTGCAAAGAGGCACTCCAAAATCTGTTCATGAACTCTGGAAAGTGTCTTTGCTCAAAATTTGATTGTGGACTATGGGACAACCCGTTAGAGAGAGGGAAAAATGTAGCTATAATGAAATGTATGTTTTAGGGGGAAATCAGGGACATGGGGACAGGACAGAAGAGGGGGTGAGGAGGGGGGAGACAAGAGCTGGGGTGTGAGGAGGACCAGCAAGGATGAATGCTCCAAGGGACGAGTGGGGTGGACAGGGCCCCTGCGTCCAGTATGGCCTGAGTCAGACCTCACTTGGTACCTGGCCTTAGCACTCTGGCAGCGGGTCCTAGACCAAGTGTTTCAACTCTCTATCCTTCAGTTCCCTGGTCTGAAAACAAGGATAATAAAAGTACCCACCACTGAGGGCTTGTTGTGAGAATGAAAGGAGAAACACATGCAGAGAACCTGCCACATAGGGAGCTCTTCATAAGTATCAGTTGTGACTGTTCTTGAACGTAACTATGGGGTTGCCTCATCCAGGCCAATTAGAAATGTAGACATGAGAGGCTGCACCAGGGACCTCCACAACACATGCATGGTCTAAAGGCTTGCTTGCACTCACTCCTCCCCAGTCCCATGCAAATCTACCCCCAAACCCCAAATGTACCCCTCAAGCCCACAGCACTTTCAGTTCTGCAGCTTTCATACATCTGGAGCCTTCATGCTCCTTTTGGTCATCTTCTTTAAAAAGTAACAAGGTTGGCTGGGCGCAGTGGCTCACACTGGTAATCCCAGCACTTTGGGAGACCGAGGCAGGCAGGTCAGGAGTTTGAGACCAGCCTGGCCAACATGGTGAAACCCTGTCTCTACTAAAAATACAAAAAAATTAGTGAGGCATGGTGGTGCACATGCCTGTAGTCCCAGCTACCCACTTGGGACGTGGAGGCAGGAGAATCACTTGAACCCAGGAGGCAGAGGTTGCAAGGAGGCAGAGGTTTTAGTGAGCCAAGATAACGCCACTGCACCCCACCCTGGGTGACAAGAGCAAGACTCTGCCTCAAAAAAGAAAAAAAGTAACAGGTCATCTGTTTAACAAACAAGAAGAAATTTCGAAGTGAAAACACAGAGGAGTTACGGGTTTCCTCAACAAGAGTTCAAGACTAGGCCAGGCGTGGTGGCTCACGTCTGTAATCCCAGAACTTTGGGAGGCTGAGGTGGGTGGATCTTGAGGTCAGGAGTTTGAGACCAGCCTGGCCAAATGGTGAAACCCCATCTCTACTAAAATACAAAAATAAGGCATGGTGGTGCGTGCCTCAAGCCCCAGCTTCTCGGGAGAATGAGGCAGGAGAATTGCTTAAACCTGGGAGGTGGAGGTTGCAGTGAGCGGAGATCTCACCACTGCACTCCAACCTGGGAAACAGAGTGAGATGCTGTCTTAAAAAAAAAAGTCAAGACTAATTTTTTGAAAGTCAGAGAAAGCAGAATGCACTGCAAGTAATAAAGAGGAACAAACCTGATTCCAGCTTCTAGAAGGGCACAGAGGACAAACCACTGATTCTGAAAGTCATCATTTGAAGAGTTTTTTTTTAAATCCCAGATCAAAGCTAAAGACCAAGCCTTGCTTTCCAAACACTTTGGCTAAAAGTAGGAGCTAATTTTCACATCTCCAAAGGTGGCTCCAGGACTCCAAGTCATACCTTGGCAAGGGTGTGGCAGCTGGCTGAGGGCGGCAGGTCCTGTCCAGAAAGGGTCTACTGGGGCCCGGGGACCACAGGGGAACCTCATTCGGAACCACTTCTTGGCCCTCTGTGGCTAAAACCAGCTCCAACCTTGAGTTTTTATGGCTGGAGCCACCTCCAAAGGGGTGTCAGCCTGCACTCAGGTGTGGCTCTGAGCGCTGCCTAGCCGAGAAGGTGGATGGGCATGGAGCACATGTGCACCCTTGAGGCCATTTAGGAAGAATATTTTGCCAAGTGAAGAAACCGTACAAATGTGGAACAGGGCTCTGTTTTTTATGTGCTATTGAAAATGATCACCGGAGGCAGAAACTAGGCTTGTGTTCAGAATCTGAAAATCCGAGGGCAGAAAAAGAGGACAAAGGCATCTTTTGGTGACTACAAAGCTAAACCTCAGCAGAAGCATGTCTGAAGAGACGGGTGGGCTACAACCTCAGAATTGGAGACAGAAGAGGTTTTCAGAATTAAAGATTATCTATGGCAGCCGGGCACAGTGGTTCACGCCTATAATCCCAACACTTTGGGAGGCAGAGGCGGGTGGATCACGAGGTCAAGAGATCGAGGCCATCCTGGCCAACATGGTGAAACCCCATCTCTATTTCATTTTTTTATTAAAAAAAAATGGGAAAGAAGTGAGCAACTTAAGATTGTCACAATTAATCTCAGATTGCAGAAACAATATTAGAGTATCCTCCTTTACCTGCTGAGTTGGGGGTGAAGTCGGCTCTAAGACCCAGGCAGTTTCCCAAGGAGAGGCTTTGGGACTACCTGAAAGATTCATCACCTTCAGGATAATTTTCCTGGAGGCGAACTAGAAGATCTGGTGCACGGCACCTGCACAGTCGCTGTCCACTCACTTTTTTTTTTTTTTACGTGAAGTCCAAAACAGGCAAAATTAACCAGTGGCATCAGAACTGCTATTATGATTTGTCTTAACACAATCTTTGTATGCCTGAGCACCAAAAGGATTCAGAAAAAGCAAGCCACTATTTTTAAATGTTCACAAAATTTCTTTATAAGCTGACGATGGGAACAACTAAAAATGACACCTCTCTGGCAATGTTTCTGCCAATTACATGACAACCTAAAACACCATGAAAGGTATTCTTCCTAGGTGTTAATGTTCTCATTACCTGGGAATGAGACATTGTAAAAATGGTACTTATCTATCGCAGACAAGAACATTTTTTGATTAGGATGTTAAAGTTTCCAGGATCAGCTAAAATTATAACAGTTCTCTTTGGTTTACAAGACACATTTTCTCAAAAATCTGAAATCTCCCTTGAAAAGGCCAAAGATTGCTGCCTTTCGTGTACTCTTTGTCTAGCTGAAGCCCACTGGCACCCACTCCCTCAGTTTCAGCCTCTCTCTTCTCTCTCCATAAACTTTGAAGAGGGCTAAGTCTTTATTTGTGCTCTTCACTGGTGGAACCAAGAAATGGGGGAAAACAGGATGGGACGCTGAAGCACAGCTACTATCTTGCATTTCAGGAAGAGCTGACCGACAACCGGAAACGGGGCCGGAATAAGGCCCGCTACTGGGCTGAGGGTGGGGGTCCAGTGTTGGGGCACAACAAGCATGAGCTGGAGGGCTGGGGCGAGGCGTCTACATCCGCTGAGGGGCAGGGGCCACGCGGCGGGAGTACGGGCCCTGAGCCCGGGGGAGGGGAGGGAGCGAGGGATTCACGCTCGACATGTATCCGCCTCCAGGGGGCGCTGCCGCCCTCATTCCAGATGCCTTGCTCAAAGCTGGGGGTTTCTTCGGTGTTATCTATCATCCCAGCTCCCGGGTGGCCCTTAAGCCCCAGCTGTCAGTTTTTACCTGCCTGTTGCGAATGGATGGGGGATACCCACCTTTCCGAAGTGTCCCCTTTCTGCCATCTTAAGGGGCTCTCCTCCCTCACCCTCCTAAAGAAAAAGTGCACTTCCCGAAAAAAAAAAAATGAGTGGACAGCGACTGTGCAGGTGCTGTGTTATTCTCTGACAGCAGCTGCCTGAGCCCAAGGGGTGATGAGGCATTCTTTCCTCTAGAAGACGTGAGTCTTCCTGACCTACTCCACCATCACCCAATCTGTTGATCCTCCATTGGGAAAGGCATTTACAGGTAAAAGACTTCTGTATGGAGTGCAGTAACTCTGGTGATAGTTTTCACCTTTATTCTGCTGTGAATCAATCAAAGCCTTGTGTCAGTTAACACATGGCAAGTGGTCTCAATGCAGTCAGGACCATGCCAGAAACCTGGATCTCTTAAGAGATGGGTACCTACCTAGGTACTAAAGCCCTACCCTTGGCATTCTCAGCATTCCTCAAGCAGACCATCAGTGTTAGCACAAACTGAGCAGAAAAAATAAGCTGTTGATTTTCTACCTGATACTTAAGCCAGTGGCCTACTTTAATTCACAATTCCATTTTGATTAGCAGGACTTTTCCACTTTGAAGATAAAATAGCAACTTTATCAAAGTGACTGTACTGCAAATTCCTAATGCCTGATAGTTTTATATGTAGAGGCTTATGTGGAAGGTATGTTAATAGGTTTCCGTGAGACACCAAAGAAAAGAGGACTCTATACTGGGTGGAGCAGGGTCTTCACCTTTGTTTGTCAACTTGTCATATACACCTCCAGGGACCAAAAACAAAAGCAGCTCAGAGTCTGTGTTGCCTGACAGGAAAGTAGAAGCTCTGGTGTATGCTACAGCACATCATGCATTTTTATTAAAGGAAAAAAGCTAATTATGTCCATGCCTCTCTAAAACCCGGGGGGACCTTAAAGAAAAAGAATTAGGCTTAAGTTAACTGTAATATAATCAATTCAAAGTAATGAATGGATGCATGTAAAATGGATGTGATTTTTGTTTTTCAAGTTTATTTTGAAATCTTAGAAATCAGGTTACATCATAACTACTCAAAAGTTTTACAAACTTAAAACTCAGATCTGTAAGTGTTGGTACCTTTTAGACTCATAAAATTGAATAAACCATTGCAATGCTTAAAAAAAAAGTTTGGGTTCAAAAATTTTTTTTTTTTTTTTGTCTTAATGTTTTACTAATCCTGTCAGTTAAAACTTGTTACGTCACGAGAAGTAACAGTTTAGGTTGAATATGAAGAATGGAGTTTGCCTCCCAGCTTGAGACATGCATTTCAAGTATTTTCCTATTTGATCTGAGCTCACTGTAGCAAACTGATGCCAGAAGAGAATAATTATTTTCTTCCATGCATTCGCTCGATGTCCACCTGGTAATGTGTTTTAAGCTCTTTGTGTTTCAGCTTGAAGGCATCTGTCACCAGACCAGTTTCAGGGGTCCACGGTTCAGGACTCAAACGAATTTTTACTGGAATTTCAAACTTTTCCAGACTTGCTGAAATAGCAGCTTCAGAAAGCACTTTAAGTACCTCATTTTCCATTTCACAACTGTTACACAGCTCTTCCCAAGTCCCTTTAAGTCCTTTCTTTCTAGCTAGTTCAGCTAGTTCCTTTTGATTTGGCACAACAAATCCAATGACATAAGAATGATAACTGTTTGCATACGCACAAATGTTATCTACTAGAGGAAGATTCTTCAAAGCTGCCTCTACTTTCCCAAGGGAAGCATATTCTCCTGCCTGTAGTTTTACAAGGTCCTTTTTACGATCAATAATTTTTAAGCATCCATCAGGTCAAACTCTCCAATATCCCCAGTACAGAGCCACCTTTGTCCATTTTCATCTTCAAAGAAATCAGCTTTTGTTTTTGCTTCATTTTTGTAGTATCCCATTGTCACATTTTGGCCCCCAATAAGAATTTCACCCCTGGGATGTGGTTTATCAGTATTAAAGTATCCACCTTCCTCCCAGTTTTGAATTTGATTTCACAGCAAACTAATGGTGCTCCCACTCTGCCAGTATTATAGTCCCACACTTCTGTAATTGTTCTGGCCCCAGCAGATTCAGTGAGTCCATATCCCTGACCAACAGGACAGCAGAAACAGATGTTCATGAATCGCTGTGTGGTTGCAGAAAATGGAGCACCACCACACAACAGGAGATGAATATTTCCCCCTTGCAAGCTTCGAACTTTCTGGAAAACAAAGCTATTGCACAGTGGAGTACTACGTCCTTTTGAAATCTGTTCCATTTTGTAATTATAGGCCAGAATAAATAGATTGCGTTGAAAACTACTCATTTCATTCACTTTATTCATGACATTTTGGTAGATCCAATCCATGATTTCCGGAACTGCTGCCATCAGTTACTGAGGGGAGCAAAAGTAACAGGAAAGAAAGGAAAGAAGAAACTGCCAGAGCCTGCTCTGCGCGCACTTCAAAGCCGAGGCGCCCGCGTGGGGGATACGTGGGCCCGGCCTCCAGCCCTGGGTCCCGGCTCCTATCCGCAGGGAGTGACCCGGCTGGGCTGCCCACGCGGTACCCAGGGGGGTGTCAGGGGAAAAGCCGAGGGAGAACAGGGCGGCCCCGGAGGGGACGCGTGACAGGAAAGGTGGCGAGGGGCTTCCTCTGGAGCCCCAGCCTAGCGAGGGGCTGGAGCTCTCTCCCCGCCATCTCCCGCCGTTTCCTCCCCTGACAGCGGGCCTCTGTCTCCGCGCGCTGCCACCTGAGCCTGCTGCTCAGCTCGCAAGTCAGTCGCAAAGCGTGGCGTTCCCAGAGGCGCTGAAACTTTCCTCCAAATAGCTGCGGCGAAGAGGCCGTGGTGAATGGAGCCTGACCACCGGCTGCTTCCCGGCCCTCCTCCTCCCTGGGGAAAGAACAGCTAACTTGAACCCCTCCAGTGGCAGAAGAGGGAGTAGTGGTTGGTGAGAAGGGCGAACAGCTTTAACTTGCGTCTTTGAATCTTTCCTTTCCTCAAAGAGCAGCGCGCCCTTTCTCTAAAGGGCAGACGCGAGCTCACACACACACTTGGCACCAACCCTTTCCTTCAGAACCCGCGGTTCTCCCAGGGAGGAAGCAGCCCTGGCACCCACGTCGGTAAACACTCCGTCAGGGTTTTTTTAGTGAAACCAATTAAGTCAATCCTCAAGTGCTGTGCCTACAGACTGTGTTCTCACTCTTTTTTTAAACCGTCTTTTTTGAAATGCAGGCTGAACAGCGGACAAATAATCCGAATCTTTTAAAAGTGGGAGCAGAGAGAGAACAAGGAGTAGTCATTAAATTTAGAAAACGCCCAAATGGCCCTACCTCGCCCTTTTGAAAAGGTGGGGATAATTTTATGTTAAGTAATCTGCATTTATGCTTCACTGGGAAACCTCAATAAAAACGGATTCTGAATTAACTTGAAACTATTTTGGAAGAGAGAAGAGTAAACGACGTGGAAATCTTTGGAAAGCTGAGGATGTACCTTTCCAGGGGGGTTGTCAATGAAGGGAACAGAACAGTCAAAAGGTGGACAACTCCTCACTTCTTTTCCTTCTTTCTCCCCCTCATACATCGACCCCACTGACTTCCCTTTCTCTCCAGGTAAACTGAGTAAGTGAGTGGGAAAGGTTTATTGTAAAAGAGCCTGGGCCACTTGGAAGATCAAGTTCCCAGTGAGGAAAAAGAGCAATCGGTTAGGGTCTCAAGACTTGGAGAGAAACGAGTTTAGTTAGCCTTTCACTTTTCTGTACACAAAGACACCTTTTGGTGAAATTCGCAGCCACTAACGTTTCTGTCCAGCAAGTACAGATAGCCAAGAGTTGCGAAAGGACATCTCAGTCGGAGGAGCATATATTTATGAATGAGTACTCTTCCGCGGCCTCTTTCTCCATGAGATTGAGCCTGCAGTTCCTTAGTGCCCCCGCTCAACTTCGCCCCCATTATCTCCTCCTCGATGGCTTCCCTGCCCCGGACCTCCAACTCATCCCACAGGGAGGCTGTTCAAGGAGTTGGGAAAACAGATCCTGCCAGGAGCCACTGCTCTTGGTGGACCCCTCGGCTGCAGCCAATGGGCTGGGCCCGGGTTCGAGAGGTGAAAGTTCAGGCTCGGGGCTCGCAGCTCGCCTAGCCTCTCTGACCGCCTCCCTTTCAGCCCCCGCCCCTGGCTACACTGCAGACAGGGCACAGCTACCAGGGGCCACCACGGTGGCACGTAGTTTGTTGATGGGTGGTCATAAAATATATTTATTTGCAATTCCTTGAACTCGTCCACCACTCCCCCCCCAGCACGGCCCGAACACTGCAGGCTTTGTTCGCCTCAGCTGCTGCTGGAGCCGGCCGGGTTTAGCTCTCTGTGCTAGCAGACTCCAAAAAAAGTT